TGCCCTTCCGCCCTAGCCCTGAGCCTCTCCAACGCCCCAAACCCCTCATCCCCAGCCCTCATCCCCCTGCACCCTAATCCCCAGCCCAGGACCTGCACCCCAGACCTCCTCCCCCCACCCAACCCCCCTCCCAGAGCCTTAGGCAGGTGGGGGCGGGGGCGGGTTCTGGGCACCACCAAAATTTCTACAAACCTCTCACCCATCGACGGGGCAGTGAGGGGACAGGTAGGGTCCTGGGGGGGCAGTTAGGGTGGGAGGTTCTCAGAAGGGGGCAGTCAGGGGAAAAGAAGCGGGGGGGGTTGGAGTTCTGAGGGGGGTAGTCAGGGGATGGGAAGTGGGAGGGAGTGGATGGGGGCGGGGCTCCCCCAGTGTCCTCTTTTTTTGATTGTGGAAATATGGTAACCCTAGGTAAAGGGAGAGTGCACGAGAGGCTCACGAAAGCACTGAGGAGATGGGGCTCACCAAAGTCCTGTCCTGGCAGCCTTGGAAATCTGCTTCCTCTTCGCAGAGGAAGCTGGGTTCACAATTCTGAACAGGAAAAGAACAGGCTCCTTCGCTGGAAAATCAGGGCACATGGCTTCTTTTCCCACGTAACTATAGCGGCCTAGAAACACTGTTAAATCGGTGGAACCCCGAGCATGGCTGCAGTTGTATTGCTACAAAAGTGCTCAGATCAGTAGTGCACAGTCCAGTAAATGTAGCAAAATAAGCTATGCTGATATAAAAGTTCTAAGTCAGGGATGGGGAACTTTCAGCTAGTGGAGGGCCACAAAATCCATTCCAACCCTTTGAGAGGGTCCTGAGGGAGGGAGCCTGCCCTGCATTTATGCCGCACTATTGGCTCCTCTGCCCTGGGGCTGGGCCCGGCTCCCCACTCCGGCCTGTTGGCTCTCGCCACAGTATCATGTCACAGCCACCCTGCCCCCTTCCTGGCCCTGATACCACCAGATCGCCTGCCCCAAGTTGGACACCAGGGGTCCAAATAAAATGATCTATTTAGTGGGATGCAGCCCCCGGGCGATCAGTTGCCCATCCCTGATCGAAGTCCTGAGAGTCGTACTCCTCCAAGGTCAAGACTCCATTAGATCACTGCAAAAGCAGATGGCTCTGCTTTGGATATTTTGTCCCCCAAAGTTGCCAACATACCAAATCCAATGAGGCCGAGAGTTTCTCCTCTGATCCGAGCTGCTCCTGAGGCCACCTCCCTTATCTGTTCCACACTCTGCACCCGGGTCCCTTCCCTCAGTGCTTGATACAGCCACGTGTTCCGCCTGTAGAGGTTTAGGACATGGCATATGGTGGAATCTGCAGTCTCTTCCACAGCTGCTGATGGGATATTGCAGACAGCAATCCCTGGAGAAGGGGGGAAAAACCCAACAAAATCACAATCTTAGAGCTGCGCGATCTAGTCACGGAAACACCAGCAAATCTCCAGGCTGCTCACTAATGAAACTGTTGTATGTCCAGGAAACTGATCTGAACCATTTCTATGTTCCTTGATACCTACCATCAGCGGACCATTTCCCAACCCAGCATGTAGGCGGACCTGCTCAAAAAATCACATGACGGCGAAAGGAATTTTGTGGCAAACTCCCAATATCACCTTGAAATTGTACTACGAGATGCTGCTTCACAAAGCACCAAACTCACAGCTGCAGCCTGCGGACTACGTAAGAATTAACATACATAAGAACATTTGCTTGGCATACTGGATCAGGCAAGCAGGCTTTCTAGGGAGGTATCCAAACACTGTACTTCCCAAGGTAGATTTTTTCCCCCACCGGTTTTAAGCTAAAAACTCAAGACACCTTTTAAAGCTAAGATTCCATTTATTTTAAGCAATCCTAACTGCTAACAACGAATCCTATTTTGATACTTATAAAACAATATTTTTTCCCCAATGAACCAATGAGAAGTTCTTTTTAAATGTAATACCAGCAGTACAGTTATAACAGGAATGTTACTGATCTGTTTTCTTTACTTTAGCTGCATATAACATATCAGTGTATTAATTTTCTGCAGTGAAGGGGTGAAGCAGTTCCAAAGCATGCAAGTCCCAGCCAGGCCCATTGTTCCTTCACAAAGGCTGGTTTTATAAGCTGCAATGAGAGTCCTTTCACCTCTGAAATGTCAGTCTGCTGCATTTCTATACAGAGCAAGTGTCCCGCCACACACACACAAATAAACTGGTGGGACCTCACCACCGGGCCACAGCAGGGCAGCGATATTGGCCAATGCAGCTGGTAGTTCTCGGGACAAAAACTCAACCTTTTTGATCCTATTCCGTCCTTAATTGAGGCCTTTATGACATTGTTGCACAGTGATGTGTGGGAAGACGGGGTTCCTTGGGAGCTTCTGGTTTAAATTCTACCACCAGATCGAGGGAAGATTTGGGGTGATTTCTGTCTCTGATGGGACTCACCCACTCTCTGGCGCCCTGCCAGGATTACTTATCCTTCGGGCTCTTACAAACATGTCTGAAGAAAAGTCTGCACCAAGGGTCACATTTTTTAAAAAAATTCCCAGGGCAGCCTGCCCTCGCCATACCAACAGGCCACCACACTATTTCCCATTGCACTTGCTGAGCACTCTTAGAAACAGGAAAACAGTATAAACATGTGCTAAGCTCCCCTGAAAACCAGGCTCTTACTGCACTGTGTTTTCTACGCAGCCTTTTCTCTCTCCTTGGTGATAAATAATGAGAATTGTTTAAACGGTAAAACAGAGATTTCCCAGCCCTTCACTCTCCCTCTCTGCAATGAGTCTGGCCCGGGGACACAGGATCACCCCAGGCAAAGGGAGCACATTTTTTGCATCAGTCCCTCTTTTTTTGCCTATGTGAGAGTCAATAACCATTTTGGGTAACAGTTTTAAAAGTGCCCAAGTGGTTTAGAAGCTTATATTTCATTGAAAGTCATTGCAGTTTAGGGTCCTAAAACTCCAAGGCCAAGATCCTCAAAGGTATTTCAGCAGCTAACTCTCAATGAAATCTATTTAGGCACTGAAATACCTTTGAGGATCTGGCACTTTCGGGAGTTTTACCCAAACATCGTGACTGCATTCCTTTTAATCCTTTCCCTGGAAAGAGCAGTCATAAGGTTTGGAGCCCCATCTTGTGGTAAAGGGTTTGAATCCCAGTCCTTATTCAGGCAAACTCATATGAAAATCCCTACAGCCCAGATCCTTAAAGGTTCTTAGGCGACTAAGTCCACATTCAGGCATTACTGATATTCTCAAAGCTGACACCTAACCCTGGAAGCACCTCCAAATGCTGGTCGGCATTTGCAAAGTCACCTAAATGGTGATGCTGCCCCACAGCTAATGAGCAGCTTGGAGGCCTTGCTCAAGCTGACACCCTGTAGGCCCCTAAGCCAGAGTCTCAAATTGGGCAGGGGAAGGGGAACGCCTATCTCACCAGCAGGGCCAAGTCCTCTAGGTGTGCTCAGAGCATGATTAAGCCACACCTGTCACACTACAGCAGGAGGACTGGATGCAGGTCTCCGATCGATGGGGGCAGCACAGCTCCCGTACAAAATACAGCTGGGACAAGAGCGAGTGTGGGAGAGCAGAAGAGAGAAAGTTTGTTTCAGCTGCCAGGGCATGGGCTACCTAAGCAGCTGACCTGTCTTTGGTGCCTCACTCCAGGAGAGGGTTCGCAGCTGGGACTGCCACATGGAGGGAGGCGCCCAGCAGCCAGCCGCACCAGGTCAGCCGCTTGGGTGCCTAAGCTCTTCTCTTTGCCCCAAGTCCTTCCTTGGGATTTCACTCCCAGCTAGCCTAGGCGGCTCCCTTGCCAATTCCTTCCTTAGGTGTCTAGCTCTCCCTATGCACTATATGGGGAGCCTAGCACAAGACTGACCATTCCACCCGGCAGCAGGCTGCCTAGGGTTAAGTACTGCTGTGTTGAGCAGGGCAACGTCTATGTACTTTACCTTTAAGGATTTACGCATTGGTCCTTACCTTGTGAGAAGAATCTATGGGCTATTTGTGCATGTAGGCAGTGCACTGCCGCCGGCCTGCCTGACAGGGACAGATTTAAGAAGTGAGGCCTAGTGGACAAATTAACTGAGGGGAAGGGCAATATTAAAGCCCAGTGCGGCACTCAAATCTTGTCTTCACGTAGAGTGAACCCTCGTTATAACAAATGTTGTCCTAACTCGAGTCCCATCCACACACACAACCCCTTAACTCCAGAGGTGTGGTGCTTTTAACTCACGCTGGCTGGTCCGTCGGGGGGACAGGACAACAGCTCATCAGCTACTAACACAACCACTCCGTGCTGCTAACATAATGGCTGGTTGTAGCGTGCGTGTTATTTCACTCTCACTTGAGCTACGCTAACTCGAGAGGTTACTCCAGTTAACTCTGCAGTTAGGACATAGCCTCAGTGGGGCAACCTGTAGCAGCTGAAGTGACAGGAGGAGGGAGGACACAGCTGTAACGGCCAGAGAGGCAGATGGACGGGGAAGTTCCCCCTCTCCCCATACAAGGGAGGGGCAGGCTCTCACCTCCCTCTAAACCTTCCTTCTCCCATCACTTGACAGTCTCAAGTAGCCTGATGCAGAGTGGTAGCTAGCCCGCTCCTGCATGGTGGAGGGGGTCACTCCTGGCTATGGATGTAGGAGAAGCAGCAGCAGCCCTGAGCGGGCTCTGGTGCAGTCTGCAGCCTTGTCAGCATGGAGCGGCTGAGGTACAGGGTTTGCAGAGTTCTCACACCGCTAGAACCCCTTTGTTAAGGTAACGGCTGCAGGCCAGGATCAGCTGATCAGGACACCCATTAGAGCTGACACTGCTGAATTAGCCAGCTCAGCAAGACCTACAATTGTGTGCTCAGTCCTGCCCTCAAAGGCCTGGGTGCTCTAAGGCCTAGTCTAGCAGGTGGGGAATTCTGCATTCAACTATTCACAGGAACAAGCAATTGGTACAGCACCCCCCTGCAGACATGTTCTTTTACTCTGCCCCCATACTTTCAACATGCTGCATATTTTTGTATTGACAATGCTAAAATGTACCATAGAGTTTGCTGGCGGAGAGGTAAGTCACTGCGGAGAGGAGGGGAAGAGGGGGCTGGGAACGCCCCAACCAGTGGCTCCTACCTTGAGCCTGGCTCAGCTGCTAGTCCCTGCAAGGAGTGACTTGGGTTGGGTCAGACCCACCCCCAACTGCAGGAAGCTCCGCATCTCCCCCCTCCCCTGCTTCCTGCCCCCATTGCCTCTCAGCCACGGTGGGAGGGGTCCCTGTACAGGGAGCTGCTCCCCCGTCCACCAAATCCCCATGCATCCGGACACCCCCCAGTCCCCCACCCCGCTGAGCCTCACCCCCTGCATCCAGAGCCCTGGACCCCCTCTGCCAAGTCTCACCCCTTACAAGCCCCCCACACTCTAACCCCCACCCCACTGAGCCCCAACCAGCTGCACCCGGATGCCCCTGCTGAGCCCCCTACATCCAGACCCCCCCCCCCCACTACCCCTATCCCCCCCATGCTCCCTGTAGAACCCCAACTACCTTCACCTGCACCCGCCCTGCAGAGTCCCACTGCCCCTGCACCTGGAACCCCCCAACAGGCCCGTGGGCATCCAGCTCCCCACCACACCTGGACTCCCCTCTGAGCTGCCCACACCCAGATTGTCCCACACAGAATCTCCTCATCCCACACCTGGATCCGCCCACACTGACCCCTCTACACTTGGGTCCTACCTGGCCTGAGCCTGCCTGCCCTCACCTGGTGCAGAGGAGCAGGGCCCTGGAGGGTTTCTGAGGCAGGCCTGGCCCTTGCGCTGTGTCAGCCTCCACATTTATTTATTGACAAATAAAATTTGCAGAATTTTAAAAATATTGTGTGCAGAATTTTTGGCACAGATTTCCTCTGGGAGTAAATGTTTGTACTGCAAATCTTGTAATATTGGCCAATGTAAAGGTCCGATCCAAGCCCACTGAAGTCAATGACAGCCCTTCCCCCGACTTCAGTGAGTTCTGGATCAGGCCCTAAAGCATTTATATGTCTATCATTCTCAGTGGATGTGTAACTCTAATTAATGCTGAGAGGTGTTACACCCACTGTATAATGTGCATGGTGACGGGGAGATGGAGCTGAGGGAGGGGTAGGGTGAGGCCCCATAGGGTGTAATATGAAGTTAAAGTCTTCAAATGTAAATAATTGTACAGCTTTTGTTTATTTTTAAAAGAAAACACCAAGGAGCTACGCAAACTATAGTCAAACTGTGAGCAACGTGTCAACAGTCCACAGCCAAATGAACATATTTTTGTAGATAAACACTTCAGCCAAGTATCTAATTCAAAATGATTGTTCCAAAGAGCATGCATTTTCTTTAGTTTTACTAAGATTTTGAAGG